GGCAACTCTTTTTTTTTCCGGAAGTTAAAAATTTTAAAAGGAAAATCCGGATTTTTAAAGTACTATTTCCAGCCCTGGTTGGCAGAGAGGGGTGTGATAAGATTGTTTAGAGACACGTAAGTACCAAGTTAAAAAATTAATAACTAAAATATGATTTCACTAATCATCTTTTTTTCAATTAGGAATCAATGTGCAGTATATGCTGGGAAGGAGGAGGTAGGGATAGAAGATATACAGTTTGCAGCTGAATTTCAAGAGTTGATCAGGCAGGAGATCCTCTCAAGCTTAATATAATAAAAAAAATATTTAACTTTTTACTTACTTTATCAGACATTTTCCATGATTCCCAAAAAGGAAATCTTTTCCTTACAAGAAATGATCACCCTCCCTATCTTAGAAGTTTTACAAGCATGTCAGAAACTAATTATTTGATTTCTTTTTTTTTTATATCATTAACATTACCAAGAGTTGTAATCAGGATATATTGTTTAGTATTGCTTAGCAAGGAATTTTTGTATAAATATACATTCGTGGAAATTGTTCTTATGATTTAGTATAAATAAATTGAAAGAAATTGTATTATTGTATTAACATTATTAACATTTAAATAAATTATTACCATCAAGACTCAGAATGATCTCACAATAATAATTGTTTTTTATTTTTATAAATCAATAACATACTTTATAAATTTGATGACACATATGCAGGTCAATATTGATACATAAAGCAACTTTTACATACACACAAGTTGTGTTAACTTGATGTTTTTCAATTTTAAGGCCAACTATGCTTAACATTAATATTAATAATAAAATAAACACGCTTGAGTTGTTTATTTGAAATGCATATATTATACTGGTAAATACTTGTATGTAGAATGACTTACACAATACACAAGACAGGTTTAGGTATAGGTTTTTGTAAGTTTTAATTTGTTCTTTAAATAATGCAATTTTCTCTTTTCTTATGTTAAAATAAATAGTTTACTCTTGGGGAGCTGTGGATTCCATGTAAAACACGTATATGAATTTTATGAAAAAAAAATAATAGAATTGCAACATTATAAAAAAAAAATGTAATTGGTAATTAATTCTCAACTATTTTTATAATGAATTTTATTAGTTTAAATTTCAAAAAGAAACTTATTATGAATTATTCATTTAGTTTTGCATGATGCAGAATAACAAGTGATCCAAGTTTGTATAGCATTCATTACCTGTATGAAAAAAAACCCTTACAAAATGGTAATTATTTTTTAGAAAATTTTGTTCCGTCTCCATCCTTTTTCAAATTGTTTATAGGTATATCCAATGGCTGATAGAAGGTCAATATGCTAGATCTTTACTTAACGTGGGTAAAAATTTTCTCCAGCGCAAGTTAAAAAAATTATCAGAAGCAAAATCAACTAAACCTCATCTACAAACTTCTATTCATGTAACTTTTTACAATATATATAATATACTTTTACTATTTAGGAAAATTTGTTTCCCATTCCAATACAAATTGGCAAATATAATGTAAATCAAAAGTCTATAATACTGTTGTGTGTGAAAATGAAATTTATGTGAATATGCAGAATATGCATGAAGTTGAAACTATTTCGACCATTTGCAAATCTGATCAAAATAGGTCGAAATTGATTTTACTATTAATATGTAGTTGCCTCAAGTCAAAACATTTCAACTTTGGAGTTTTAATTTCAATTTCATGTATATTAATATTCACATAATAATAAGTGAAAATTCAAATTCGCCAATCAGAATTCATATTAATATTAATATCCAAACACCCCACCCCAAAAGTTTAATTACAAATTTCACATAAAACAATCCACTAGATAATAATAATTGAAATGGTCATTATTATTATTAAAAAATAATTTATTATTATTATATTTCTAAAAATCCGGAAACAATTAATACTAATACCAATTTCAAAAGAATTTTTAATTTGAAATATACTTTAAAAAAAAAAATAATGAACAATTTTGGATTCCGTGATTTCTTAAATTTTAATAATAATAATATGTGAAAATAAATTCGAAATTCTGTCACATGAAGGTTTTTAATATAAAATAAAAGTACACCA